CCCCCCTCCTCATAACACGACCACCTCACCAACCATCACCTCCCCGCCTTCCAGAAATCATGGAAGGTGTCCTCCCCCCCTCTGATGACGCCCCAGGTGGCATGGGGCAGAAAAGCGCTTCAGGGAGCTGCCACGCCCTTCCCGCAATTCGGCGAGATGATCCGCACAGATGCAGGCATGCGGTGGATCTGGAGGAGAGAGCTGAAGCGGGATATGAACCTCCCCCCTCCCCCTTCCCCCTTCCCCTCTCCTTCTCCCTCTCTCTCTCTCTTCCCCCCCGCCCCTCTCCATTCCCCGGTCTTTCCTTCCAAGCCTTTGGGACCACATGAATGACTCGATAGCAGGGATACGGAGCGGGCAGTGTGACATATACTAATAATAATTTTTTTTGCAAATATAAACTGATCGTACTGTCTTTGTCCTCTAAAAAGTTGGTGTTCATCGAGATTACTTGTTCTCCTTCCTTTCTWTTTTCTCCCTTCCCTCCTCCTCTCGCTCTCCTCTCTCCCTGTGCCTTCCTTTCTCCCTCGCTCTCTTTCTCTCCCTCCCCTGGTTTTATGCTATGGATGACGTTTCCGCTTTTCTTCGCTGTCAAAAAGTGCTTCGTCGTATGGCATCCTGATTGGTGTGTCCCAATGAAATACAGTTTTGATCGCATCTATGCCTTAGTGAGTATGTGTTTGTTTTCGATACTTGCTCTGTCAATCGATCTGACAATCTACGTTGTCAAAATGCTTCATCATATGGCATCCTATTGATTTGTCTTGAATGGTGTCCCAATGGAATACCGTTTTGATCGCATCTATGCCATAGTAACTATGTGGTTGTCTTCGGTGCATGCTCCAAGATTTGGTTCCCCGGATTTTCTTCTTTTCCTGGTTTGATTCGTGCATTTTTTCCAAATGAATGGTTTGATCGATGCCCCCCGTGAGCACCTCTACCCCCCTTTTTTCACTTTAAATAGCCGCTAGCGCAGGATCGGCCTACTTCACCCGATAAACGGCCCAATGGTTACCTTCACCAATTGGACATACCGAGTGGTTTTACCTCGCTACGTTTGTATCGCCTCCCGCGTCTTGCTCATTGCTCACAGTGTGCCGACGGTTGTTTAGTCGGAGTAGCACGAGCATGACGTGTCGTGCTCGTGCGCAGCGCATGTGGTACACACATGCTACACACACACACACACACACACACACACACACACATTAAAAAAGGGCACTGCACCTCTGCTCGCACACAAGGGGCAGTAGTGCACGACCCCTCGTGCTGCACATGTTGTGTGCAGTGTTTCCAGAAAGAAAGGGCCTACCAGCCTCCTGTTTCGTTTTTCTTTTGCCTCACCAAGGCCCGCCCCCAACCCTGTGGGTGCCACCTAGGGGCCTGCCAGAGCGGAGTGACCTTCTACCAATTTTGCGCCCATTGGCCTGCTGGCCCATCCTGGCAGGTCCTTGCCTGCGCTGCCCGACCAGTAGCCTAAAAGGGCATTGCATCTCTGCTCGCACACAAGGGGCAGTAGTGCACGACCCCTCGTGCTGCACATGTTGCGTGCAGTGCACACACATTACCTATCCGAGCATTGCACCGCACCAAACACAGGTCCGCCACAGGTATGACATAAACTATTATACAATAATGTTAGAAGTTCGAATACAGAGGTTACCCAAAAACAAAAACAAAAAAAAAAGAACTTAGAAGTTACCTGCTTCAAGAGAAACAGAAAGAAAGGGATCACAAATGCGGACTCATTCCGTTTTATTTCTCATTTTAGTATTTTGACTTTAACAACAGCAGAAATAAGCGACTTACAAATTGCACACATATTTGACTTCTCCTCAGATATGCAAGTGATCACATATTCGACTGTTTGTAAACAGGTCATGAGTTCGAATTTTCTGTTAAGAAATTGCACACACATGTGGTTGTTCATCAACAGGTCACGAGTTTGGATTCTAACAAAATCAGGTGGATATAATGAATTTAGGGGCTACCCCGTTTTCAAAAGAGGATGAATAAGTAGCTTCGTAGCTTACCCAGCATATTCGGTAGACGACCCATCCACCTCGATATCTTCTTCCACGACTTCTTCTTCAGTCTCTCTGCACGCAAAACACAGGCACACCCACAAGAGAAAGGAACTAAATTCTGGCAAACTTCTGTGACACAGTACAATCTGCGTTCCTGTAGCTCATTTGACCAAATTAGCCCGCCCATCCTTGACATTATCAGTATAGTATACATCATCCGATTCCTTCTACGGTGTTCACGATTGCTTGCGGTTACGAGAATGTACAACTTGGCTGAAAGACAAACATACTGATCCTCCTGTCCTGCTCAGTTGTTGCAGTGTTGACTCTACTTCCAAAACAAGCAATCACTGCAACATCACTATTCAGTGCATGCGGCTTGGACCATGCTGTAACGCCGCATCAGAAGGAATATGACTACCGTCTTCACCTGAGTAGAACGCCTGGTCATTCCAACTGCACGTGGACTGAAAATTGTTCCAAATACAGTTATAATGACAGGGTGTTCTATTCGGGTGACGACGGTAGGCTACTGGGCCTGGGACTGGCCCTGTAACCAGGCAGCTGCTGGTAAGAAAGTGCACATCACATGCCGCTTTTCCTACGAGGTGCAGTGCTGAGGGTTACTTCACCCGAATAGAACACCCGGCAGTGTTGCATACCCCGACGGTCGGCGGCTCTTGACCGGTTGGCACCTACCGCTCGTCAGCACCCTGTAGAAAAGGAAAAAAAAAAAAGAAGGTTCCAGAACTCCTAATAACCCCACCAACACCCCCATAGCGGCCCTCAGTACACCCATACAGCCGCCCAACCCCCCCAAACCGCCCCC